CTAAAAAAAGGGGAAAGTAAATGTCGCGCAGTATTAGTCTATTTTACTATACCTTATTGCTATATGCCCTCTGAAGCTTTATTGCTACCAGGCCTTCATAGAATCATATATACCAGTAGCTATCATGTGCATCCACTTTACCATTTAACCTTGCAGGAAATACCTATTAATAATCTATCAAACGTGGGGCATATTTCAACAAAAAAGTGCCTGGTGGAGAAATAACCTCTCATTAGAGACCATACTTTGATCCACTTTGTCAAATTTTCCGCAATCAAGAGTTTAAAAACGCACCGCTAATTATCATTTTTTTGCTTTAAAACAATTTTTGTCGCAGGCAATCATATTTTCTCATTAATAAAATTAGTCATGTTTATTTATGCGTATAAATTAATTTATATACTGTAAATCTTAGCTTTTTTTATTAGATGTCCCGTTCGCTTTTATTTTAGCTAAACCATGCTATGCATAGCCAGCATTTGATATTGAGCTGTTTATTTATGTATGCTCTGCCTTCTCTTGTTTCTGCCACGGGGTCGAAACTCAGTTCCACTTCTAACATAAGACAAGATACATATGCAATATATTCTATTTTCATGTCAAAATCTATTCAGCCGCATACTTTACTAGAACTTAATTTATTCTGGTGTAATGGCTTTTTATATAAAAAAGTTTTTTTAATTCTTCCTATATTCCTTAATCTCATTCATTTTAATTTAGATTACACTGCAATATTTATTAAGTTTCGTTTTATCAATGCTTTTTAATTACGGAGCAATTTACCTTACTGTGAGGGAAGATCTACTTGGTATTCATTTTTATTTTTCTTTACTTTGTAATTTTGCATCAAGTCACATGTACATCCAAAAGGATATCTTGGCTTGCATTTAATTTTGCTATCCATTCAACGCTTACTCAACTGGTCATCCATAATATACTTATATTTGGCATTCACTTGTTCGATTATATCTTTTCACTAATCTAGTATGATAATATATCATTAATAATAAATATACACACAAATCTTAACCCCTTATATTTTATCTTAGCATTATCATTTATATTACCCTAGTTTGCAAGTATTAACGTGTTTCGTTTACACTTAGTCATAAGCTCTACTTCTCTCCGTCTCTTAATATAGAATTTATTCAGTTTGTCTTTAACCTAATCTATCAGCCTTGTATTTGTTCATTACTACGACTATGGCATACGACTATTTTCGATTAATTTGCCAGTGATTAATCGGTAAGTTACTGGTATCTTTATGTCATATTCAAATTCCCGATTATTATCATCAAAAATAACGTGAATTTTTTTACTTTCACATTGACTCGTGAGCTTCCTGTTGTAGTCATTGTTTGAAGAGCAAAAAAATTACCTTTACTATTACGTCTACCTTGGCATCTTATCCAGCTATTCATAACTTTATTTACTTAACTAGTTTATTCCTTACCATGCATTATTATTGCTTTTGTTTTTGTATAATTTTATTGTGCAATAGGCGGCGGGGTCTGCTCGTGGTGGCGGTGCGCGTGGGGTCCGTGGCAGCAAGGCAACTGCAGCGAACTCAGCTGTTGCTAATGGAGAACTTTGTGGTTTAATGATTGGTGGTCCCGGAACCACGGGGCTCTGTCTGCCCGGCTCGTCTACTCCTCCAGGCCTCATTGTCGTTTCAGCTGCTGGCCAGGGCTGTGCATCACTTCCTATGTCTGTTGGGCCCCCTTCTCATCATCATAATCATCAACAACAACAACTCTTTGGTTGCTGTCCTGGTGGATATATGCCTCCTCCCTCTGGCCAGTCGCAGCAGTTAATGCCACCACCTCCACCTCCACCTCCTTTATCCGCGGCCACCTCGCACGCTAATTCGCCGCTATGGACGGGAAATGGAAGTGGTGGCGGCCTCGTATCTATAGCTAACAACTTAACGTCAGATGGTTCTACGAGCGGACTCTCTATTTCAGGCAACAGTGGTGGGAACAATAGTAATCTTCACAACAGCACTGGCAATATGATGATGATGGTAGTAAGTGGACCGGGTCAGATATCGATGCAGCCTACAACTGGTTTGGCATCCGGTTATGCTACAGTTGGTCATCAGGTCACTTCCTCCTCGCCTATCCTTACCAATTCTACGGGTGGCGGCGATTTGGTCTTTCTATCCTCTTCCGGTTCCGGGCCACTCTTCTCAGCTTCGACAACAACTACTACAATGGCAGTAGCTGCGTCCGCATTGCATGCGACTGGTATCGACTGTCCACAGCAGCCACCAGCCTCTTCAATGTCACCAGCCTCCTCTTCATCTTCTCCGGCATTGCTTACATCTCCTGGTAGCATTTCTAATAGCAGTGGTAATGGCAACGGCGCTTGTGGAGCAGTAACCGGCTCCAGCAATTCGATACTCCCGAATGGTGTGATTGTGCAGCCCGTTTCAGCCAGTGGCAGCAATAGTTGCTCGACAGCTGCGACGACAACAGTGACTGCAACTGCTGCTTCTACGAATACCTGCTTCAGTCAAGTTGGAGTCAACGGGCTCACTGGTCCCACTGGTTGTGGATATTCTTCATGCTCATCCATTATTAGCGGCAGTACAATAACTACATCGAGTAGCTTGACTTCAGGCAGTGGATTAATAAGCACAGCAGTTAACCCTGTAGCGTCAGGTGGACATTTACCTGTGGCTTCAACTCGCATCAGCTACTCAGGAAGTTCCTCATGTGCTGGACAACTTTCCGGGATACCTTCCGGCTATGCGGGACCTGTCCCTGCTTCCTCGTCATACACTCCTGTGCATTCAGGTTAGTTTACGATGTTATATTGCCATGCTCAAATCAGCTTTAAAGTACAATTATATCCCAATGATTCCTTAATAGTCTCATTAATGGTATATTTACCATTACTAAGAGCCTTGTTGAAAGGACGCTCTTAATTTCAAGTAAACTTCTTTATGGTCTTTGATCCTATTCCTTAACTAATTTGCAATTATGGAGTAAAGTGCACATGGAGGAAGGAGTGATGAGTTAAATTAACTTTTTTATTGATTGAGTTTCGAAAATTTATTGTAAGAACTTGAGTCATTTTAGACTCTAAGGTTATAGACGAGCTGATAGTTCAAGTTCCCATTATGAAATGATTCGAAG